AACACTATACAAAATTTACTTTATATTAAAATAAAATTTTGGAAATCATGGACCTTCATGTCCACACACATCGTAATATCAAAAGGACAGTTTTTCCTATGAAAATATATTTATTTTAACTACTCTTTCACTCTTTGGCATCATTAGAATTACAGTAAAACCTAAATATCTGGGACGTTTCATTACAGATGGTGAGGAGTTTGCGGATGATATGTGCAGTTCCGCATAAAGTAATCTTATATAGCTCTGAGATGCTGATGTGTCCAGGGATTTTACGCACATGATTTTCGATACACTTCTTTACCATAATCGTCACAACAGGGATAATAGTAGTTTTAAATTTCCGCATATTTGATACTTCGATTTGCAGATCATTATAATTTGACCGTTTTTGAAATTATTTCTTTTTAGAAACATTACTTTTCCTGCGGGAAAGTAATATTGATTAGTTAGAAGGTTCGTTTTTTTTTTTTGTTTTTTTCTTTTTAAATCTTTTATTACTACGTCTGGTCTATCATTATTATTATTGTTATTATTATTATTATTATTATTATTATTATTATTATCGTTCTTATTATTATTGTTGGTGTTATTTTTATTGCTGTTAGTATACCTATTATTATTATTGTTATTATTATTATTATTATTAATAATAATAATAATAATAATGATAATAATAATGATAATTTGCGGGTTTTTAAAAAAGGAAATGATTATTGCCTTTCGTCATTTTTTACGAATTTGCATTCATTGATGAAGCTCGGACACTCAAAGAGCAATGTACATCCCAAATTAATTTTTTTACTAAATATGGGGCTATGACATCCTAGTTTTTCATCTTTCACAAAACAAATGAAAACTTGTGAAGGAGATTTAACACGCTAAACCTTTCACAGTTAAAGAAGTTCCCGATTTTTTTTGGGTGGGGGGTGAGAATTGATCCGAATTAAACAATAACTTGTCCAGAAGCAATTAACCGGAATTCTAAAAAGAAAACACTTTGACCAAATTCGAAGTCAGAACATTAATGAGGTCGTGTTTCGTTTTCTTTAAGAGATACTGTTTGTTTAAGAGGCTGCAGACGAAAAAATACGAAAGACAATTCAAGGCAACAGAGAGAGAGAGAGAGAGAGAGAAAAAAAAATCAAGATTTCTTAAAGGGGAAGTCGGGTTGGATGGAAGTATCAGCGAGAGTCCAAGATTGACAGTAGAGCGAATTTGATACAAGTTCAGTGAAAAAAAAAAAAGAAAACGAATAAATATTGGGGATAATTGAATCAACGACGATATAACGAAGAGAACAAGCAGTTACAAAATACAAGATTTCTTGTCTAGACGCATCATCTTAACTGGAATCTCGAATTTTTATTTTTTGGTTTCCGAGTTGGTCAACAAATCAGTAGTATATATTGAAAATCTAATGACCTAATACATTTTTTTTTATTATTCTTGTGGATACTCCTTCCGTTCGATCAAATTTCAGACTTTCGTGATTTGAAGAAATTATTAGTTTTGGTTCAGATCTTATGTGCCGAAGTAACTAAAAAGCATCTTATATTTTTTTCTAGAAATGTAGAAATTTAATTATCGTCATGAAAACAGACATATTCAAGAAAACGAATGAAAAACATAAAAAGGAAGGGAAGTGCGTCGTCTGTAGAAAGAGATAGTCGAACCTGTAGTGATGGAATTTCTTTGAATAAAGCTTCATTACAATTTTAAAGTTTCGTCTGTTTTCTTTACTGTTCAGAGCAATTCAATCATTGTGAATATACCAGGTTCGAACATCACTTTTTATAACAGAGGTGGGAGACAGCTATGACTGACTTCCCTACAGAGAGTATGGTCACAACGAAGAGCAACTCGAACCGACCCAGGGAAAGTGAAGAGAACAAACGCGAAAAGGTTGACCGCTTTTCGTTCCTTTTTCTTCATATCCAGAACGATTAAAAAGGGACTAAATGAACATAGATTTTACACATCGTAAGCACCCGCTCGCATTCGATCTCGGGTCATCATCCTCTCTCCTTATTCCCTTCTTCCCATCTGGTGGCGGTGACGGATTTGACCGTGAAGGCCCTGCCTTCTCCTGAAGAGTCGTTAGCAGGAGTCATAGAGGTGGTGCATATTGCAGATCCCCTTCGTGTTGACGGATGGACTCGAAAGTCTCGGCCCCCACTCAGATCATCCTACGCTGGGAAGGCCGGTTCTGCAGCAACGGTTTCCCAGGTCTCAGAGTCTAGTTGGCCTGTGCCAGGGGATGTTTTCAACTGATTCTTGAAGCGTCGCCTTTTGCCGCTAGCAAGTTCTCAGAATAGGATGATACTTGGGAATCGAGTCGGATGCATTCTGGACATGTAACCCGTGATTGTCATCCTCTCTCTTTACTCCCTTCCTCTCCTTTGGTGGCAGTGACGGAGATGGCAGATGGCTCCTGATAAGTCGTGAGGAGGATTCACAGAGGTGGATACGGGCCGGCTAGTCCCTAACTCCCCCACCCACCCGACAGCATATCGCAGATCCTCTTCGTGTTGACGGTTGGACTCGAAGGTCTCGGCCCCCACTCAGATGGTCCTACGCTGGGAAGGCCAGTTCTGCAGCAACAGTTTCCCAGGTCTCAGAGTCGATGTTGGCCTGTGCCAGGGGCGGGGGGTTCAAGTGATTCTTGAAGCGTCGCCTTTTGCCGCTGGCGATTTCTCCGAACATAATAATACATAGGAATCAGGCCGGGTGCATTCTGGACATGTGATCCGCCCAGCGGAGAATTCTACACATATATCAATATTATGCCAATATACGTATGTTTATATCAGTTATTTGCTGATCACTTTGTGGTCAATCACTCACTCTTTCTGCTTACACAGAGAATGCTGCATGGATTTAATAAATTGGTCTCCAAAAATTGGCGTTTAAATGGCTCAAAATGAGAGAATGTATGCTTATAGTAGGCCAAAGCACACTCACGATTATATATAGAACGTTCTGCTATCGCAGACCCCGATTTATTTACGCATTTCTGCCAAGATTCTGAAATCCACGTTTATGAATACGGGCTCGTACATTTTGACGTACTCTTTTCTCCGACAATGGAGCGATTCAACCTATGTAGCCAGAATCGAAGTACCATTTAAACTAAAAAGAAATAACAGTATTAATATGACGAATAAGTAGATCAGCTTTATGAGCGGACTTCAACATTGGTTGAGAAGAGAAATGCGTCTATTGACAACACAGCTGATAATACACTGGACATTTTTTGAGGCCAACAATTTCAGTCTATTAAAATGTGCAATTTTAACACAAAAAAAGGTTTTGCACCACATCAAGAAGGTTGTTATTATCCCATAAAACATTTTTAATCAGTTGGATTTCACTCTTCCCTTTCACTTTTTAGGTAACATCAAACAATCCTTTGTATTAAAAGGAAAATTATATATATATATATATATATATATATATATTGTAACATAAGGGATGTTACTGAATAGAATAATCACACGAAGGTTTGTAATGAATGATAATACTTAGGACAAGAACAACACATATAAGATTCGCCAGCGTCGCGTAGAAGTAGTAGTGAACTGCTAGAAGTGAGTCAAGTGAATTCCACAATGAATCTCCAACTGCAGGATATCTACCAACCGCCTCACCCGGTCAGATGCGACACAAGGACGAATTTAATGCGGGATATCCGAGCCCGTAGGCTCAACCAAAAATTTCCCTTAGACCCCGTATAAAACGGGGTCGGGTAGCTGTTTCCCGAGACGAATCTCCAACTGCAGACCAACATACAGTATTTGTACTACCGTATTTATATGAATGGGGACATACATACCGGTAGGGATATATATATATATATATATATATATATATATATATATATATATATATATATATATATATATATATATATATATATATGGAAGAACAATATAAATCAATTATATATCAATGATAGACTTTGAAAGAAATGATGTGTGACAGAGTGCAATTATTTTTTTAAATGTTTACAATTTGTCATACATTTTATCTTTCATATATATATATATTTAAGACATTATTAAATAACATTTACCGGCCTGAATGTCCGAGAAATTTTCATAGAAAATATTCGTCCTTTGACAGGATTCGAACCTGCATCCCAAACTGGAACCGTCATTTACGCTGACGTGCCTTACCAATCGGCCACAAAGTAGCGTTCGGTAGACAAGGTCGAATTTACTGCTTATAGACTTCAATCTTCTATGAATCTCGTACATTCATAACTGCTCTGGCGTATCAAATGTAAACAAATGACGTCATATGTTAAGAAATGGACAAAGTCCGACAACTTATAAAAACATTAAAAAAAATGTCTTTAATAAATAAATCGGTAATTTCTCGGACATTCAGGCCGGTAAATGTTATTTAATACTGTTTATTATAAACAGAGCATTTACTTAAATACTTGTATCTATAAAAAAAAGAACGTTAAACATAAAAATATCTTTAATAGATAAATTGTCGGACTTTGTCCATTTCTTAATATATATATATATATATATATATATATATGCTGAGAACTGATTTTTCTTTTCCAGGGTTGAGATAATAGTACCAACTACCCACACAGAGTAAATTGATTCTCGTTATTTCAACGCTTTGTCAGACTTTATAAAAAATACACATGCCTACAAAACCTCCATCTACTCTTTTCAGTCGTATACAAACATGTCAGTTAAATATCGATGTCTAAGTAATAGACGACGCAAAGCTAATTATATTATCAGTGCCCAGACAGCAGAAGGTGAAAAGAAAAGTTCAATGTACAAACAGACTCGTCTGCTTATTCATTTTAAGATGTGACAAACGTCAACTTGAGCGAATACCGGAAGTTGTCGGGCAGCCATTTTGCCTGCGGCAATGACATTTTCATTGCCAAAATGGCCGAACTTGGCTTCATAACATCCGCCTGCTTGCTACTTAGTCATTATCCTGAACAAGTTAACATTACTTTACACTTGACACCAGACAAATTACGAAATTTATTTGGCTGTGTAGGTACGCCTGCATAGGAAAGAAACACAAGTGTGATAGATAGATAGATAGATAGATAGATAGATAGATAGATAGATAGATAGATAGATAGATGATTAAATTTATATTTTATTTGTTTTCTACGGCTTATCAACCCTTTACAGATTATTTAAAGCCAGAAAATATTTTTTATTTTGTTGATTTTTTTTTATATTTGAAAATAATAATGATTTAGTGATACAAGTCTTAGTAATTAACCAGTAGCTTGAGAGAGTAAAAGCTGATTTATACCGTTCCCAAGGGTGTTTCTACGTAAGTGAACATAATGAACCCAACTGGAATTAGAACACGTCACTTCGATTAACACTTCCGTCCCATTATCTATTAAACCACTCGGACATCCAAATTTACTGCACAAATTATTACCAATCGGTCACCCATCTAGTTACTGACCAGGATCAACGTTGCTTAAATTCGATAATCGTACGGGAACCGGTGTTTCATGTGGCCGTAAACATAGGTAGATACAACAAATGAAATAGCAATAGAACAAAATGAAATAGCTAGATATAGAGATTTCGTACGGTAAGTTTCACCCTCTACATGTCCCGGGGAGCACTCAATGTAGAGGGTTAAGTTAAGAGGTATTTTTATGGACAGGAGGGAGAGATAACAGTTAACTCTAGATTTGAACAGTTTAACATTATAGTCATTGGGGAAACATCCTCTTGGAATCCTGATCTACATGGCTCTCGGGAAGAAGATGTTTGAGATGAACTTACTTGCCACCGGTGGAATAGAGAGGTTATGTGGGTGGATTGCTACTAAGCAAGTGACATGGCAGGTCGTAGCCGTGAAAGTTAAACCTAGCGGAACCATCAAATGTAGTTCGTCCGAGCACTTTCCACGATAGTAACAATAGACCAATGAAAAACTCACTACATCCCGCCTATGAGAGAGTGTTTGTTAGGTGGAAAATAGTTCTTGTCCAACAAAGAGTCAGAGACACTTTTTAACTTTATCAAAACTGGAAAATGAGATCTGGGCAGCTCCCGCCAAAATATGACAATAATACAATTTTCGACCTGATCTGGCTCTTATAAAGGTAGAGCTTAGCATGAGGAGTCAGGTACTTACTGGAGTGGTACAGGGAGCCGATCATTTTATCTACATCTTTACTGATGGTTCTTATAGGTAGTGTGTGAGTTTGAGGCCCAATATCATCTCAAGGCACGGGGCGTCCCCTAGCGGACTTCCGTTCATAGTGACAGGCAGTAGTTCTGGGTCTGATCGGTGGTGGTTTAATGTAACCAGTTGGCATTTAGAGACATTGAATGTAACCAGCCAGTTTTTTCGCCCACTGGGAATTTAGTGTGAGATCGGAAAAGAGGTCAGACGTTTACAAATGAACGCAGTATATTAAGTAGATCATGTAAATATCAGAAAGATGGTTTGGATCGAGAAGTTAGCCCTGGGGGACGCTTGCGTTGATCGCCAGGGTACAGGCAGAATGGCTGTCAATAACTATCTTCAGGAATCTACCTGTTAGGAACGATTTTATAATAGAGAAAATTCTTCCAGTGATTCCATAGCTGGAGACCTTCTGTCGCAAACATTTGTGTCACATGTTGTCTAAGACATTCGAGATATCTCATGCTATAGTTCTTGCGATGTTTGTGTCGTCAGGGGCCTCACTAATCCTGTGTGTATTGGTAGTTAGAACGTCAGCAGTGGATCGGGCTGATCAAAATCCATACTGCTCTTTGCACAAGAGGTTGTTCTTATGTAGGGGTTCGACGACTTTCATACTGATAATACGGAGGAGACTAATGGGTCGATATTTGGAATAGGAGGATCGGTCGCTTGCTTTCTTGGAGACCGTGTACCTTCCACGGGCTTGGGAAAGATTTCTCCTTCAAGCAACGATTAAATAACTTTGCTATGATCCGGGATAATTCTGGGTTGATATTCTTAAGGACGACCATTGGAATTTTATCTGGACCAGTGACTTTTTAGCGGTCAAGGCTTTTGATAAGTCTAGAGACTTCTCTTACTAAAATGAGTATATTACTGAGAGTGTGCTCAGTGAGACGGGGGAAGTTGAAGAGGCGATAGCCTTTGTCATCTCATGTTGAATTTCAGGCAAATATGGAGGCGAATTCCAGACTCCGCTTGCCAGTCGAGGCCAATTATAACAGTGAATACAGTTGCTTTGCCTCTTTTTATAATTTTGTTGGTGATATTCCCGTATTAGCGAGATACAATTCGTGTCTTTTCAACTTTGGCCTGGACAGCTCGTGCGTAGCGGCACTTTGCGTTTTCCAGAACTCTCGTACAGCGATTGCGCGCGGTTCTGAAAGAAGTAATGGGCAAACTACACTGCTCCTAGCAATAGATTTTGAAGTAGTTGTTCCTGTGAACTATGGCTGCAGAGCATTCAAAGCTGAACCAAGCTGGATTTTGCTGGAATTTTTTTTTGTAGGGGTATAAAAGATTCTATTCCAGAAAGGATCCATTCGAAGATTAGGGCAGCGGTTTTGGAGGAAGCATGTTTGAAGAAGATTGGGAGAGGAGCGTCCGTCGTTTAGGGCCGAAAGCTGTCCCAGTTTGCCTTCGCATCGCAAAAAACCTTTCCATGGAACGGTAAATCAGGGGAGGTCGTTGGTTTGGAGTCAATTTGGACACTGACTATGGAATGATCTGACGTGTCAATGGGGGATAAAACTTTTCTGAGCATTTGTCAGGAACATAGATAGATAGATAGATAGATAGATAGATAGATAGATAGATAGATATGATAGATGGGATAGATAGATAGACAGATAGATAGATAGATGATAGATAGATAGATAAAATGATAGATGGGATAGATAGATAGATAGATAGATAGATAGATAGATAGATAGATAGATAGATGGAATAGATAGATAGATAGATAGATAGATAGATAGATAGATAGATAGATAATGAACAGATAGGATAGATAGATAGATAATGAACAGACTTTAATAGAATAGATAGATAGATAATAGATAGATAGATAGATAGATAGATATTGAACAGATTGCAATAGATAGATAGATAGATAGATAGATAGATAGATAGATAGATAGATAGATAGATGCGTGCCGCTTTATTCGTCACTTCACGATGCACATAACAATCTCCACTGTTATACCATTACAACTATTTAGAACCCAATATATGCTCTAAACATGTTACCTTGTATCAGACTAAAATAATTATAAGAAATATTTAAGTAGGCCTTGCTGGCCCTCTAATGCCCCCACCGGTTGGGTTTTGTTCTTTCATAACTACATCGAATATACATCTACATCTGTAATGTCAGTAACCTGTAAGAGACGAAATTTTTCATACGTAAGATAATTGTTTATTAAATGCTGGTTTACGCCCAATTTAGCATCAGCCGTTGAAGATATGTGTTCTTTCAAAGAACGTTCGATCTTCTTACGAGCACGGACTCTATGCAAAATTCTTGGAGAGTCGGACGTTTATATAACTTCTGGTTGTCTTCATTTTAACTGTTGGTACTATTGAAAATCCTCAAGTGATGCGCTTTCTATTAACTTGTAATGTTCGTTGCTTGTGATTCTATAGTGACAGTCTACAAGGTTCGAAAAAGGAATGTGCCGCAGATTTCACTTGCTTGAAGCCTTAATTAAGAGAAAGCAATGGTATTCATCTTAGGGTTTAAATATTTTTGAACAGGTTTGGCATTATGCTATAGATCCATAACAAATTCTCAATCTGACGAGGCTATTAAAGAACATGAATTGAGTTCTTAGGTTAATGTTTTGGTTTTGTTACCTATTATGGCATTGGTCGAATCTACCCCAAGGACAGCCTATTCTATGTTCAATTTTCTTATCTGCTAAAATAAATAATCAATAAGCCGCGATTTTTGAAATGTTAAGCAGTTATTAATTCCGGATCCTAATTTTTAGGATTGACTTAGTGTATGTGCCATCATTACTTTCATTCTAGATCATATTAAGTTGGTGCATAATTATCAGGCGTTTTTTGTTTTTTGTTTTTTTTTTGAAATATGAAAAAAGAAATATAAAAATTCAACAATAATATTTTTAAATGATTATTCCGGAGCGTATGATTATCGACACGAATTTTTATAACCTGAATACAAAATAATATTTTTATTGAAAAAGGTAAATAAAACAGTAATTATTATTAACAAATAACTCACCCGCAAAACGCCTGATAATTATGCACCAACCCAATAGTTTTGTTTTGGAATGGTTTGAATTCTATTTCTTGAAACACTTCTGAGAGGATGATGATTTTTATTGAACCAGTATATACTAAAATCACCAAAGATCAACTCTTCTTAGACCAATGCTTTCTGATCTCTGGTATAATTATTTTTTATTTTTATTTTTGTTTATTCGTTTTTAATTTTCGATTTTTAAGTAACGTAATAAAAATTTGATTTCGTGTCTGCATTTTAAGATGATTTCTCATCGTTTACTAAGGAGTTTGTAGTTGTCTGGGAAGGTAATTATAGCTATTTTTTCCATCAGGAAGAGTTTACAGTTTTCGGATTTATTGTTGTAGGCTGATGCTGTTTTCCTTATTTTCCTTGATATCACATCAAATACATAGAAAATAAGTCGAAAAAAGCATCATTATTTATCAAGACAAGTGAAGAAATTTTATTTCGTAACCTATATTTATACTTGGAAGTAACATGAAGTAAACTAAAATAACGTTAAGTTTTCCAAATGTGAATTAGAAAACGCTCTAAAATATTCTAAAAACATACTCTATAAAGGAAAAGTAAATTATGGACGACGCTGACAAATGTAATTTTTCAGCCTATTAAACGAAAGTGAGTTAATGCTGTTGTTGATGTTTTATATACAGTGCGTATAAAAAATAATTTTACAAACTTTGAGGGCGGGTTCCTCACAAAAGTTGTTTTTTTTTTTGTTTGTTTAGTCTAGAAACGCAATCTGATACAACCGTGCTGCCTTGCGTCTATTACTACTCGCCCGGCGGTATGCAAAAGTCATATCTACTTACTCACGATATGAATATCCTGTCATTGTTAAACGGAAAACTTCTCTGTTAACTCACTACTACACACGTTAAACGTTGAATACAGACTAACCACAAATGTACACGAATGACAAATGTAACCCAGTCTACACTGTGCCATCTACTGAAAACTTTCAAAGGTTATGAGTTGTTTTCTTTCATTTTTCAATTTTTTATAACCTTACATAAGTTTGTTGGCTTGAGAAAGGAGCATGTATTTTAATGGAGGATGTATTTGAAAAAAATCCAGTGCGTAAGTTAATATTTTGGCAAAAACTGATAACAGCACTTTCAAGAACTTTTCGTTATTTTCTCTTTTATAAGTACTGTATTAAACACGTAAAAATGGATTTAGGGTTATGATTATAGTAAAACAGCACAAAGAGAGCCAAAATCAGAGAGACCATTACATTTTCTACAATGAAGCCCGGCTTACATACGACCGGCCAGCGCTGACAGTTTAGTGCGCGCTACCGCACGCGGTCATCAAGCGGCCAGTATTTGGTCTCTCTGTGATTTATACCCACTCGAAACACACCAATCTCCGTATTGGTATTTTTCCCCAGGGAGATTTTAATCGATAAATGCTTCTTTTCTTGTATCTACCATATCTCTTTAGGACCTTGGCGATCATGACTCTCCACAATTTCCTGTCCTTTGTATCTCTTAGTATTTTTTTTTGTTTTGCTATTTCTTCTAAACACTGTTCTGCCATCCATTTACACAAGCCCGATAAGCACTAGTTTCCTGTGCCCCCTTTTGCCGTGAATATGTTGGATGTCTCCAGTTCTTCCAAGCCATTTTTCTTCATTATGCACCCTAGAAAATTCAGCTGCCTCTTTCTGATGTTAAATGTTTCAATTTCTTCTAAAACTTTGTGGTTCAGACCATGATATTCACAAGGTCTTTTGGCAGAATCACATTTCAGTTCCTTAAAATGTATTCTTCTTCTGTGAAGAGTTTGTCCAGCATTCACTACCAGATAAGACGACCTATAAATGCATTACATGTGTGTTTTCTGCCTCGAATAAAGGTGATGTTCGGCAAATTATTCGCCGTCTTGGTATTTTCTTTGACGAAGATTGAATTTGGTGAATGCATTTTATGTATTCGCAAAGTACTCTTGTAAAATCTTAAATCAACAGAAGTTGTATAAATGCCCATAAATCAATATAAAAGACAGACTAGGCCAAAACTGACAGTCGTGGATGTTTCAAATTGTAGATAAATTATATCTTAGTATAATTCCCCTTAGCACGACCTTTACACCCTGCCAATACTTCATGAATAAGGGACTATTCCGTTTTGATCGAGTAGAAAGACAGAAAAACATACAAGAGGCATTACATGGTTTCTGTAGAAAGAAAGGAAAAAGGAAAGAAGGAAGGAATTGTTTAGTCTCCCGTAACTAACTCATAAATAATAGACTATTCCGTTTTGATAGCGTCATAAGACGGAAAAAAAACATATCAAAGATGCTACTTGGTTTTAGTGAAAGAAAGAAAGAATTGCTTAACGTCTCCAGTCGCTAACGCATAAATAATTGACTATCCCGTTTTGATCACGTGATAAGACTGAAAAAGAAAGAAAGAAAGAAAGAAAGAAAGAAAGAACAGACAACAGACAAACAAACAAGGATGGAATTGTTTCACGGAAAATTAAAACGTTTTCAATTTCAATTATTTTCATTTTAAAAAATTTTGAAATTTTCAATTGTTTAACGTTCCAAACTAACTGAAAATAACTATTTTTTTTGATCGCGGATAAGACTGAAAATACATATCAGATTATTCAGTGAAAAAAAAAGAAAGAAAGAAAGAAAGAAAGAAAGAAAGAAAGAAATACGGAATTGTTAAACATCTGATTCTGGGATAATTAAATAGTTGTCAAATTCAATAATTTTCATTTGTACCCCCTTACATCTTTAAATAACAACCACCAATCATATTTATGATCGTTTACTGTATTATTTTGTTAACGTTGTTGAGCTCAAATATTTAACAAAGGCATAAATAAATTTATATATATAATATATAACATAATATATATATAAGAAATGTTCATATATTTCTAATATATATATATGAAACTAAAGGAAACCTAAGAAAAATGCCCCAAAAGTATCATTTAGAAAAAAATATTGATTGAGTTGGATAAAGTATTCAGTTCACTATGAATAGAAAACTATTGAATTTACAAAATAATCCCTGAGAGCCAATCCCATTCAGGAAATGAAGAGCGAATATAGATATCAAACACAGTCTCACACTTCACACACATTTTATATATATATTTATATATATATATATATATATGTGTGTGTTGTGTGTGGGTTGATGTGTGTGTGTGTGTGCGTATTTGGTTTGTTTGTGTTTGGGGTGTGGTGTGTTGTGTGTGTTTTTCAAAAAAATAAAAATCAAAATAAATAAAGAAAAAAAACATTTTATTTAACGCCGGATTTTTCCGATGGTGGATTTATCAAGGTAAATGCAAGATTTTGTTTTAACATTTATTTATAAAGAAAAATAATATATATATTTATATTATAAGATATAGAAAGATATATATATATATATATATATATATATATATATATATATATATATATATTAAAGAAAAACAGACCAAATGAATAATAATGTATTTCAAGAGCCCTTTTTAATTTGACATATATGGATAATCAATAACACTAAAAAAGTGAAAAGAAAGATGAAATCAAAATATAAAATTAACTTTTGAAATGAATAAAGTTTATGAAATTTAAAAGAAAGGATTCCATATTTCTTTGAATTTTATATTTTTATATATAAATATAATATATATGAACAGTCAATACGAAAAAAATGAATGCCTAATTTGGTGAATTTTTATATTCCAAAGTCGATTTTTTTGCTTTAAATTGTTTATAAGCAAAAAAATATCAAAAAGGTTCTATAAAAAAAAAAAAGAAAAAATATAATGACAGTTCCAATTTTCTTGCCGGATGGTCGAAGAACATATATATATATATATATAAATAAATATAGAAATTTAAGTAATTCTAACATCCCTATTTTGTATATTTTTAAAATGTTGAGAGAAAAGGTTTAAACAATTTTTTTTATATTATAATTTCAAAAAATGGAATATTTTATAATCTATACCTCTCATTAAAGATAAAAGTTAATATTGTTTAATTCCTTGACTTTTCGGATTGTAATACCTTTTTTAAAAGGCTTCAAATTTAAACATTTACTTTTTTTAGTTCATATTGAATTTTATTGTGTTTCTTTTTCAAAAAAATATAATTTTTAATTTGGTTTTTGTTTAACATCTAAAAAATTAAAATGAATCCTTATTAATTCATTTTAATAATAATTTGGATATTTTTTTGATCTATTATTTGAGAATAAATTTTTGATTGTAAAATTTTGGATAGATAAATAATGATATATATATATATATTTTTTTAATGTTTCTTACAACCAAAACGTTTTATTATTCTCTTTTCTTTTAATACATAATATTTAAATAGATACAAATTTTAAATAAATAAATAAATAAATAGATGAATTTACTGATTTATATGCCTTCAACAGGAATTGAACCTGTATCCTACATAACCAAAAATATATTCTGGTAAACATTTATTTCAAATTTGTATTTTAAAAGCAAAAGATTTAAATTTGATATAGATTAAAAAGTTTGTAGCTTAAATTTTTATATTTGGTCAAAAAATATGAAACAATTTCACAATAAAGATTTAAAAAACGCTGTTAGTACTTAATAATTATTATAAAAGATTTTTATTTAATTTTCTTCTATAAAACCAATGAAGGAAAAAGAGGATGTATTTAATTAATTGTCGCATCAAGTTTCAAATAAATATTTTTTTTCTTAAATTTTGTATTTTCCCAAAATAAAATAAACATCATTTTTTTAATTTAAAACCAGTTAAATTCACCAATTATTCTATTCAAATTTGAAAATTATTATATTTGATAATTTATAAATTTTATAAAATATAATTACATTAATATGATAAACTGAAAAAAAATAAATATAAAAAAAAAAGACAATTAAAAAAAAAAAAGATTTTCAATTTCTCGTTTAATTTTTAAATTTTTTCGAAATGTTATCAAAAAACTTTCCGTTAAATAAAAAATTCATAGTTGTTCTTTAAATTTTAAAATTTTTGAAAATGTAAATAAAATTTTTGTATTTCTGTTTATATTTTTCACAACTTTAAAAAATTATATCCTTTTAAAACATTTTATTTGAAATTGCTATTGATTAAAAACATTTCTTTTTTAAATGCAGCAGTTCAAAAAAAATAGATAAAAACCTACTAAATAATTCATTATAAATAGAATTTTCTATAAAATTATCATTTTTTTAATATTGCCAAAAATTTAATGATTAAGTAAATTAATAATTTAATTAATAATAATAACTTTTAAAATTTTAACAAGTTATATTTTTTTTTTATATAATTCTTTAAATTTTGTAAATTAAAGCATCTTTTCATTTTATATATATCCTTTTTTTAAAATATATAAAACAAATTTAAGATAGAATATATAAAATATATGACCAACTGCCTTTCGAGGATTTTGAGTTTAACATACTTTTTAAAATTCACATCAATCACATTTAAAAGTTTCATTGACGTTTCCATAGAATACATTTATCTAAATTTTGTAAAATATTATTTATAAATTCATTTTTTTTTTAATGGAATGTTTTCATGTGTTATGGATATTTAAACTTTGGATATTGATTTTAAAATTCAATTTAAATAGAAACTAATTACCAGAAACCCGCATTTAAAATTAACGGATAGTCGATTAATGAATAAATATAATTATAATCGATTATTTACATAAACCATCAAATTATTTTCTATTTGTTTTTCCTTATTTGTTATTTATTAAAATATTTGTGTTAAATTTCGGATAAAACATCCATATATATATTTCTATATATAAATAACGTTATAAATAATGGTCATATAAAATAGTTACTATCGTTTTTAAAGGAATTTCTGTTTTTTACTGGGACTTGAAAAAACATTATTTACGTTGATTCGCTATTGAATAAACATTTCTAAAAAAAATATTTTACCTGAAACATCTTTTATATTTATATATATATATCGTTTATATATTTATATATATATATATATATATATCGTAAAAATAAAGGTCAAATTAAATTAAAATCTGCACATTTTTAAAAGAAAACAAAAAAATTTGACTATTAAATCAATTTATAAATTTTTGATTATTCATAAAAACTTTCATATAAAATATTGGCATTTGAATAATGAAGAGTGAATCCTTGAATTTGTCTCTTCTTTGAAAAAATTTAATATATAAATTGGGAAGAAAAAATACACTATACAAAAATATAATCCTCAGTTTTTTAAATAAAATTTCTTTATTGTATATATATTTTTTGTTATTTCAAATTTAAAAAAGATTTCATAAAATTTTACATGTTTTAAAAGAAATTCCGTGTAGAATTAAAAACGAAAAAAAATTCTTATTCAAAAAAAAAATTTTATAAAAATTTTTTTAATTTTAAAATTATTTTTTTAAACATGAAATATTGTCTCTAAGGAAGTTTGACATATTGCAACAGGGCACATTTTTATTTTGTAAACGTTTAATTGCATTTAAATCACTGGATAATAAAATAAATGGATAAAAGCATTAAGATTAATCAAACGATATGGAGTAATTTGCAATGACATAAAATAAAAAAATTATGTTTTAAACATTAAAAAAAAATTTGTAGAAGAAAATAATATAGAACTGAATGAAGAATTTACTAATCTCGATTTATAATTATTGAAAACCAAAATTCCCCTTCTCGACGATTTTTTATTATATTTTTAATGTATTCTCTAAATTTCTGTATATAAAAAATTAAATTTGTTTTTGTTTATATTTATTATATGTATTAAAATATTAAAAATATATTGCTACTTTAAAATTAAAAAAAATATTTTAAACAAAGACGGGATCTGCAATGTTTTAATCAAACTTGGTGTTTATTACATTCGTGTGCATCCAACAATAATATTTCCTACAGAAAAAAATGTTCCATATTCTTTTTTTTTATCTATTTATCATTTCTTATGCTTAATCCCCAAATATGAAATATATAAAAGCATACTGATTCATAATATATGTGTATGTGTGTGTGTGTGTGTGTGTTTTGTGTTCTAATATTAAAATAATGTATATATATAAATATAATTTTCAAATTCGATTTGCATTTTGTATACATGCACATGGGGAGTTTCAAAAGGCCAAGACCGACATATATTGTATTTAAACTCCATCGATAGTTATAATTATCGATTTTTTCTATATTCTATATATTTATCATGTAAGGTTGCTATATATTTCTCATCCAGTTAAATATATAATTCTAAGAATATTTGGAATATTTTTCTTATAATATTCCAAAAAAAATAACAGATAATGAAATACGAATGTTTATAATTATGCAAAAAAATATAAATTGTTTCGTGTTTAATTATAAAAATATATATATTTAACTAATTGGCAATTCACTAATAATTTCTGATTCCCTGCAGAACTTTTGGGTGATATAAAAAGAATATTTCGTAAACATTCTTTTTTCATTCAATTTTTTGGTTACAAAAACAAAACGTTAAACACTCTCTATTTTGTTTCAAT